TCTATTCTCTATCCCTACACTGGTATCAGTAAATATCAGGTATCGGAACTGAAAAAGCTGGATTGGTCCACCCCGATTAGAACGCTGTTTCCTCCTCAAAAACATACCTGGAGTTGTGTTTCGTTTCATTCCCGTGTTTGAGTAATCCTTCATTATTAGTCTGTCTACATCTCCAAAACTCAAAATGCTCTGTTCCACCTTGTGATGTCACGAAGCGGTAGTTTTCAAGTCAACAGCTATGTTTTACTTTTAATTCTGTAGAGAATGAATTTTCCAGGGTTTAAATTATCCAAATGGTTCGAGTGAAGGTGTATGGAGTTTAAAAACAAAGTGGAGCACTTCCTGTATTGCCACAAGAACAGAACAGAGTATTTTCCATCTGAGAGAAAAACTCAGCCCAAATATACAGGGTTTGTGTGTTAAACATGAGGGAATGAAACAAAACTTCAAAGAACATTATAACAGAGATCAGCATATCCTGTATATTCAGAAGTTTACGAGCACCACATTTTTCCCAGTTTTTTTTTACTATTTACTGTTTACTGTTAACCAAAACATATTCTAAACTTTTGATTCGTGAAAGTGTCCACCTTGGCAGATATAACAGCTGAACACACTCATAGTTTGTTCTTTTTACAGTAGAAATCAAATATTCTTCAGAAAGTTCTTCCCAAGTCTGTTGCAGAAGTTCTCATAAATGTGTGGCACTTGTCGGTTGCTTCACTCTTCTGTCCAGTTCATCTAAACCAGCTCGATGGGGTTTAAGTCTGGACACTGTGCTGGACACTCCATGTTTTCAAGTTTACCATCTTGTTCTTTTTTCCTGAGGTAGTTTGGGCAGAGCTTGGACTTGTGTTTTGTTCTTTTATCTTTTTTTAACCTCTGTTTGTTCAGTTCTTACCTTTGTACCATTTCAAGCTCTTCACTGGACTTGCATGACTTGTATTGCAATAAATAACTGGAAAAATTAGGGTGTTCTAAAACTTTTGACCGGTAGTGTATGCCAAAGCTTGCACCTAGTGTTCAATGTTTTTATCAAAAATATGGTAGAAGCAGTACACTGAAATAATAGTTATAGCTTACTAGCAGTATTAGTAATAGTTGTGGTAGTTGTGATAGTAGTGGACAGTAGTTGCAGAAATTGATACTTTGCAGAGACATCATGGGGTGTTTTACATGTGCCTCAAATGGTGGAAGGTTTAGGAGTTGCTATGGTGACACAATTCACACATTAGCAAACATTAAAAAAAAAAATTAAAAAAAGGTTTAAAGATTGTCTGAAAAATCAAGAAAAAATACAAAATGGATATAGACAACAGATTTTCAGGAGCCTGTGATCAATACGAGTGTTCATGGCCCTGTTTAGGAGTTTGATTGTCAACAAAAATGGTGAGAAAGTGTAAAACTGTTGGATAATCTAAGTAACATGTGACTTTTATTTTATGTGAGATGGACTTGTTTAACAGAACAAAGCAGCTCACCTGTTGTACCTCCAGCTGAGTCAGTTCTTTCTAGTCAGATTGTGTTAAAATAAAGCCGTAGAGCCTATAGTTAGCATCACACCTCCAGGGAATGTTGATGACATCAGCAGCAAAGTATCAATAGTGGTACTAAAGTAAACATAGTATTAGTTGTAGTTGTAAACGGAGTAGATGTTGTACTAGTTGTACTAGCAGTAGCACAAGCTGTTGGTTTTCTAGTTCTAGTAGTAGTTGTAGTAGCACAAGTAGTTGTAGTATTAGTATGGTCAGGTGTACGAGAATGTGATTTTTACAGGTTTGTTATATTATTTTTGTAGTAGTGTTGTGGGAAATAGGCAGTTGGTAATAAAGGACACATACTGCATTTTAATAGTAATAGCAGAAGTAGTCTGGGGTACATTTATAGGTAGGTGGTTGAAGTGTGTTTCCCAAAGACACACCAACAGCAGCAAGTACTTAGATTGAACCACAACATTTTTAGTTGGTGGGCAAATGGTCTAACTACTGAGCCACTGGTGTCCTAATAACAATGTACATAATACACTGCTATAGACCAAAACTACAATCACAGCTCATTTTAAATGTCCTAGCTTACTCATAATAGACTCTTGCAGCTTAAAGCCATGTTAGTACCTCATCAAAGACATACCTTTCATTCACACACGCTTGACTAATCCTGTATTATGAGTCTGTCTAAATCTCTAAAGCTCAAAATGCTCCACCGAAGTGTTCCACCTTGTGATGTTATGAAGCTGTAGTTTTCAAGTTAACAGCTCCCTTTTACCTTTAGCTCAATAAAGACTGACACTCCAGGTCTAAAATGAGTCAAATGATTCTAGTGAAGGTGTATCAAGTTTAATACACAATGGGGCACTTCCTGTATTAGCACATGGCACCACAGCGTGCAACAGAGTGTTTTTTGTTTGAGAGAAGAACTCAGCGTAAGTATGCAGGGTTTGTGTGTTAAACGTGTGAATGAAGTGTGTACAGTGCCTCAGTCGTCCAGGTAGAATCCATGGCAAAAGAATTCAATTTGTCAATTGGATAAAAGTTTATTTTGGTTGAATAGGTTTCGCAGCTCATAAAATCTGCTTCTTCAGTTCTGGTCAGACGCTGGTGGACACTGCCTTATATCTGTCTGTAGGGAGGAGCTAGTTACACTGAAACTACTCTGGAACTAACACACCTGCTTGTTTGCAGTTTCTTTTAGTTAGTTAGGCCTACCACCCACTGCAGCACAAACTTAGTGCAAGTTCAATAGGCTCTATTCACGTTATGCCACAAGCCAGGAAGATGTTTGGAAAGATGCGATTACAACTTCCGGTGTAGTTACCAACAATGGGCTCGCCTAACATACAGGAGCTAGTAAAACCGACTATGATCAAACCCATTGAAATAAATGTGATCAGTGGTAAAATGAAGACTGTATACATATGTGCTGTTTGGAATAATCTTGAATTTAGCACCTCATCATGTACCCTGTACTTGGAGTTGTGTGTCAGTAGGGAAATGATGAAAACTGAGGTGTGGTTGTAATTGTTGATGAGCCGAACATAAAGGAACACTACAATGACATGTAGATGAAGAAAACTGGGCCTGGGAAGTTGTCATCACATCTTTCCAAACACCTTCCTGGTTTGTGACGTAAGCGTGAATTGAGCCTGGAGGCCTAGCTAACTAACAGAAATTGTAAACAATTAGGGTGTTAGTTTCAGAGTAGTTTCAGTGTAGTTAGCTCCTCCCTTCAGGCAGATATAAGGAAGTGTCCACCGGCATCTGACCAGAACTGAAGAAGCAGCTTGGAAGATCTATGAAACATAATCGACCAAAATAAACTTTTGTCCACAAGTTCTTGACAAGTTGAATTTCTTCTTTTGCCATGTGTGAATGAAACTAAACATAACTTCATGTATGTTTTTCATTTCAATTCATTATTTTGGAGTATTATTAAATTTGATGTACCTCCACCCAAACTTTCCATTTGGCTGGGTTGCCGTGGCCACCTGTTTACCAAGATATTAAACTCTAATCAGTGACTTCGTCCACATGCTCCAAGAGGCAGTAAGCATATTTGGACCCCATTTCCATATAAATCACTTGGCTGCAATGCATGGTGGGTAAGGAATTACTTTTAATCAGTATTGGCTTGCTTACCTTTAGGCATTAGACAGATTAGAATTTATAGCAGGAGGCCGCACCACCCTTTTATATGGTGGGGCTAATTGTGCATTTAAGAAGTGATACCTACAAGGAGTTCAGAAGTGGCTCATTATGTGCTTAGTATCCAGATCATGCAGTAATATTAGCGTGGGTTGAACAATGGAAAAGTCATTTGTGCAAAGTTTCTAAAATCTTAATAGTTTCTTAATGCACGTTGCCTTCAGCAGAGCATTACTGTTTGAAATTCAAAGCATCCACTGAACTTGTTTCTCTGGGGTGGTTGCACAAAGCTCTCCAAATTCTGCTCTCAGCTGATGTCAGGAGTTCAACTATTTTGGTTTAATTGGGAGTGTTTTGCTGCAGATTTAATTGTGTTGTGTTTCGTATCATGCTTTGGGACTTTGGGAATGTGAAGGTCAGTGTGCTGGTTGGTGCTGGTTAAAGCAGGTTATGCATCTGGACCATAGGCTGTAAATATGGATATAGGTAACCCACTAGAATCAGCGCTCCAAATAGGAAGTAAGCATCGGTGCATTTCCTGCTTCATCAACTCTGACTTCAGTTCACACACTTCTGTCTGTATTTGCTGCAGTGAGCTTTGTCATTTTAGGCTTTGTAACAAACAGACTGGTTTGTTACCCATGAGAACACTCAGCACCTTCACTAAGACACTTTAATACACCACACTTTTGATAGCATACAGCACTTTAAACATATTTGCACATATTACAAAAGACATTGCACACAATTGGTTTTAAAATGTATTTATCCATCTATCCATTTTCTTCTGCTTATTCAGGGGCCAGGTCGCGGGGGCAGCCATCTGAGATGCCTCCCAGACTTCCCTCTCCATACACACTTCCTCCAACTCCTCCAGGGGGATCCCGAGGTGATCCCAGGAGACCTAGTCCCTCCAGCGTGTCCTAGGTCTTCCCCGGGACCTCCTCCCGGTGGGACATGCCCGGAACACCTCTCCAGAGAGGCGTCCAGGAGGCATCCGCAACAGATGCAAGAGCCACCTCAGCTGGCTCCTCTCGACGTGGAGGAGCAGCGGCTCTATTCCAAGCTCCTCCCATGTGACTGAGCTACTCACCCTATCTCTAAGCTCCCTCTTCACCACAATGGTCTGATACAGTGACCGCATCACTGCCAACGTTGCACCGATCCGCCTGTCAGTCTCACACTCCATTCTTCCTTCACTCATGAACAAGACCCTGAAATACTTGAACGCCTCCACTTGAGGCAGGGACTCTCCACCGACCTGGAGAGGGCAAGCCACCTTTTTCTGGTCGAGAACCATGGATTCGGATTTGGAGGAGCTTCACACTCGGCTGCAAACCGCCCCAGTGCACAGTGCAGGTCCTGGCTTGATGAAGTCAACAGGACAACATCATCTGTGAACAGCAGAGATATATTTAATGTCTTTCCTTTTAGCACTTTTAATCCTGAGGCCCAGTAGCACGTTAACTAAAAGCTGTTGGTCCCTGGAGGAAAAGGAGACAGAATTAACCAATTACCTTTTAAACTGAATAAGTGCAATACATATATATGGTGCAATATATCTGTTTGGAAATGTTTTAAGTGTTGATGTGTGTTTTGGTGTATTTTATGGTGTTTTAATGAATGGTGTGGTTCACTTTGTACTTACCTCTTTTTTTTCTTCTGTCCAGGTTCTAAAAGAGTCCCCCGGGCACGAGCTCCCTTTTTTAAAGTTCCGGGCTGAACCAAGTGTATGTATATTGCACAGGGTTAGTAGGTTTGGTGTTTATTGGTTTATTGGTTTTAAAGTTTAATTGTTGTATGGTTTTAGGGTTTTATGGATATAGTTGGGGTTTTAATAGTTATTTGGTTTTGGGTTTGTTTTATGGAGTGTTAGGTCAATAGCTTAAGTGAATGTTCATTTTTACCATCACTGTTATAGCTGTTGTAATTTTATCCGATCAGTCAATCCAGAATAACAGGCGCCTTCATTCTGTGTTCTGCTGCTGGAGAGGAAACTGCTGCCTGCCTCCATTTTGCATTTGCACTTTTTTGTAATGATTGAAAACCAAAACAGTAAACTGTGAACCACCGCTTCACGTCTTTGTCTGTGTTTTTAAACCTTACTCACTGAACGCCAACCCGCTCACGGTCAATCAACGTCACAGGCTTAAAATGTTCATATTAACCTGCTCTAAATGATCCTGGTGTTTTTATGTCACTGTTGTCCGTAAATAAATTCCTAGCCCTAATATGAAACCCGACTCCAAATCCCAAATTTACCCTATAACTGCAAGCCTTAGCACTGGCTGACAGTTTCATGCTATAGCTGTTTCCCCTTTACATTTATCCTCTCAGTTGTTGTATTTGGAGTAATTTGTGCATCTTTAATTACTTTCAAGACACCAAATTGCCATATATAACACAGAAGTCTGTAAACTTATGTCTTTTATTGGTTTTAGATGTGATTTATGTCCAAATTATAACATGTCTTGGATTATAGTTGTAGCAGACAAGCACAATATGTCTTCTTTAAAAACATGCATTTACATTCATTACATTACATTCATGTCTTTCCATGTTACGTTAATGGTAGACAGATAACTTTACATAGCCTGATCCAGAAAAAAGGTATTTTATTGTCCCGTAGTAAAATTTGTCCTCTATGTTTGACCATTCCTTCAATGCTGCAAGGCCAGGGCATCTCGTAAGGAGCAGTGTGTGGCAGGTGACAGACCCTTTGCCAGGTCTGAAATATCAACAGTACAAATTGTAGTAGTAAAAGTACTTTGGTTTAAAACTAAAATGTAAAAAGTACTTATAGTGATCATAGTTGTGAAATACTTAATCTAGTCACTTAAAGGAGCCATATTTTGCTGTTTTCTGATCTATGTTATAATGTTGTTTCCTCATCACAAACAGACCTGGAGTTGTGTTTTGTTTCACTCACACATGTTTATCAAACAAACGCTGCAAATTAATTATTAGTCATAGAGTTTTTCTCTCAAACAGAAAACACCCACAAGGTGGAACCTTGTGATGTCATATGGTAATACAGGACGTGCTCCAAAGTGTTTTTAACTCCATAAACCTTAACTAGAATTATCTGGAACTGGAACTGTAAAAGTAGCTGTTAACTTGAAAACTGCCGCTTCATGACATCACAGGGTGGAACAGAGCAATTTGAACTTTGGAGATGTAGACAGACTAATAATGCAGAATTACTCAAACATGTGTGAATGAAACAAAACACAACTCTAGGTCTGTTTTCAGGAGGTAACAACATTCCAACATGGCAAGAGTATATTTTGCTTAATGTAGGACCTTTTTAAATAATAGTTTTTTATGAAATGAGCTTTTGAAATATTCTAATTATGGTTTAATTTCAAAGTAATCAAAGTAGATGTCTTTTCACTAGTCTGTACCCAGCATGTACCAGGGGCTCACGTCACCCAGGGATTCATTTAAAATTAATTTGTTATTAAGTTTTTGCATTCTGTCTCTTCAATTTGAAGCTGTGGTTTATTTGGCACTGTGCTTTGAGACAGTAATTGCTGTGGGTTTTGGGCTGTGAGATTTTAAATAAATCTGGGAAATTGAAACAGTGGTGGTCATAAAGGGAAATAAAGGAACACCACAATCAGGTGAAAAAAATCTTTGATTTGTTTGGGGATTTTGGTTGAAAATGTGATTCTTTTTATGTTTTCAGTCAGAGAAAAGAGACTCTTCTGTTTTTCACTTTGGTTTGAGACATTGATTTGAGCCGGTTTTGCTGTGTATTTTAAAATACAAATAAGCACAATAGGGGTTTGTTATTAAAAACTGTAATTGTTTGAATGTCCAAACTTAAATCAGTAAGTTTGAAATACTTTACTGGCTCACATTTAAGAAACACTAATCAACTGTGTGGCTCTTACTGAAGGTTGTCAGTCTCAACAACTCAACTGTTGTCCACTGCAGAAAGTCCATCTTTGAAATGTACCTATTTCCATGGTGATAGATAAATTCATTGTCATATTGAGTAACATTTAACTTCAAATTTATTCCTTTTTGTTGTGGGCAGCCTCAATAATGTCACATGTCACAATTTTCTAAAACCTATTGATCACAATTAAACAAACACTATGTGTCTTTAAACAGTCTTTAAAGTGGGACTGAAACACCTAAACTCTTCCCACAACCACATTGCAAAATGTTGCTAAATTCTAAACATTTTACACTTCTGTTGGCTTGGTTTCAGAGACAAAGACAGGAATGAAAAATGTGTGACAACATGCCAGGTCTCCTTTACTTGAAATTGCAAAATGCAGTGGACACTGGAGGCAGCACTTTTGACTGTTTTTGATCAGAAAGTTGCAAATACCTACAGTAGATTGCAATGAGACTGAAATAGCCAAAAAAAAAAGACTAGAGACAGTAAACAATGCTATTAAAACACCATATTCATAGTTTAGCAGCAACAAAGTTTTAGTTTTCAATTCCATTTAAAATGTGATTATAACTGCCTCGTTCTTCTGAGAGACTCTTCACTGTGATTGGTTAATGCACCTGTCACTCACTTAGAGCTAAACTGGTGCAGGTGGAAAAAGTGTCTTGTCTTTGAGCATAGTGCTGCATGTACCACAGTGAATCACAAAATGAGCAAAATGGTAAATTATTAGGGCATCTGGTGTAAAACCTGACAACTTCTGATGTAATTTCTCTAAGTGTGTCAAAGTGAAGAAAAGCTCTGGCAGACTGAGAGTAAACGATGCCAACTGAGCTAACAGGTTTAGCTAATAGGACATGTGTTTGGTTGGTCACATGGGTCAGGCTGGAGCAGGGTAATTGGGAAACACAGATTGTTTTACCTGAAGCTGCTGCTAAACAACAAACACACTGAGCTCCACACAGAGGAGCCACAGCCCTGACACGTTTGATTAAAAGTCCCTCCAGAGCCACTCACACAGTCAGTATGAGGAGCAGCCCAACTGTATTGGGCAGTAACTAACTACAGAGGAAGAGATTAATGTAATTAGATTACTTTTTAAGTAAAGCAGTAATGTAACTTGTCATAACTGAAAATGATGTAGTTAGATCACAGCCCCAGTACTGGTAGATTAGTTTTTCTCTGCCAAAATTGTGTGTGTTGTGTCCATAGAACTTTGTTGTTGTTGTTGTTGCTGCTCTGCTTTGTCTTTTCGTGTTCTGGTGAGTCTCCCTGATGTTTCTTTCTCACATTCCTTTTGGTGTTCCTTTTTTTAGGTGTGAAATCCCAGACTCGTTTCCTCTGTGTATGATTTATTGCATGATTTGCACTGGATTTCACATTGCATTTTTGTTCAACAAAACAACAAAAATGCAATACTATCTATGAAATCCAATGCACTGAAATCAGGAAACGGGGCAGTGCCATCATTGACCATGATGACCGAGTGTTCCTCCTTTCACACACCTGAGACGCCCTCCTCCAGAGAACACCGGGCAAGTCACCACCAACACCACGGACAGTTCTGAAGATGGCACTGCTGAAGCAACCGAAACATGTCAACAAAGTAAACACTCTTCCTATTGTATTGACTTTTTAAAAACAAACCCAAGATGTTACTGTACCTAAGAAGACAAAATGGATGTTTTTGGATATGATAGATTATTCTGGACATTTCCCCCATAGCATATACTTCAGCATTAACAAGCCTATTACAGTTTAATGCACTTGAACACAATTAATCTTTTTAAAACCGCCCGACAAACAACAAAGTGAAGTCAGGGAAATGGATGTTTTTCACAGATCAGAGCCTTGTTTACTTCGTGCAGTATAAGAACAGACTGTGTGAGGAGGTGGTGTACCCAGGAGAGATCTGAGCCCATAGGAGCTCTGCATACATTCACACACATTCACATACATGCATCTTTGCTCCTGCAGCCATGAGCTTTGACTGTACATCTGTTACATGGGAAGCAGACAGGCGTAACTATATATTCTGTTGTTTTTCTTCTTTGCAATGTGCCCTTCAGAAAGAGCCTAGAGCCAAACCAAGTGCAGCGATCTAGTATTATTCAGCGGGTATATGTGGATAGTATTTGAATAGAAAAATCTTCTTACATTCTCAGTGGTGATGCCTTTTTTTTCTTAACTCTTTGAAGGTTTTTGAAGCAGCTTGTGGAGTGTTTTTTTTTTTTTTCTTCATTAAAGGGGCCCATATTGTGCTACTTTGTGATCTAAGTTTACAATGTTGTTTCCTCATCACAAACATACCTGGAGTTGTTTTTTGCTTCATTCACACATGTTTAACATCTTCATATTTAAGCTGGGTTCTTCTCTCAAACAGAAAAAAAGATGCTCCACAGTGATTTTTAACTCCATGCACCTTCACTAGAATCATATGGGTCTTTTCGGCCCTCAAGTTGCCAATCTCTAAGTAAAAAGAAGCTGTTGACGTGAAAACTATTACAAGACATCCCAGAACATTTTGAGCTTCAGAGATATAGACAGACTAATCATGAAGGGTTACTCTATTTTTTGGACTATAAGTCTCACTTTTTTCATGGTTTAGGTGGTCCTGTGACTTCGGTGCGACTTTTTCACACTGACAGCCTCGAGGGGCTCTAGGCTTGTATACCAGTGTCTGATACTCCTAGTACTCCTGAACCACTGTCACTTGGCTCTACTGCGCATGTCTCCTGCAGAAATAGCCTCTGTCCTGTCTGTATCATGTCAGTCGATCGCAACATTACTTGTGTACCACTGAAAATGTAAAATTCAAACAAACTTATAAAGACAAGTGAGAAGACTGAACACCAATGCCCCCCCAAAAGAAAATCATATTTTGCAGATTACAAGCTGCAAGTAGTGAAATCTGCAGCTGAAAATGGTAATCGAGCAGCAGAAAGAAAGTTTGGAGTGAGCGAGAAACTTGTGACACCGGGAGGATGCACCATGCAACTTTCCTGGAAGTCATTGGATGGATTATTTATTTAATAGGATCAGTGCATATTAATGAACATCTGCAACACTGCACTGTAAATATGCCAGATAATAGCAAAAATGCTGACTTCAGTGGCAACCGAAACCATCTGGGATTCAGAAAGGCCGGAATAATTCTATCTGGAATTGATGCAGAGTCTGACGACAGCTACACAGAAGAGGAAGCGGCACTCTGTTTACTCCGAGGTCGCAGAGTTGCTCACAAATGACATAGTGCAGGGGTGCTTAATACGTCGATCGCGATCTACCAGTCGATCGCCAAAGTCGTGTGGGTAGATCGCTGTGTCTTATCTCGGACTCGCGTTTGGATTCGGTCTTGTCTCTCACTCAAGGTCTGACACTCCACAAGTGCGATCATATTTCATTACGGCCACTGCTGTTGGCAATAAACTTGTACCGGGGTGCAGGAGCGTGTGGGGCGTCTCAGTGCAGCCCGCAGAGACTCTACGGCACATCACAAACACACACGCTCCCTATGCACGGCTCGTCTGCAACACCGTGTGCCCTCGTGTACCAGCGTGCATCACAGGGCAGGTTAAACTTCCTAAACATCCTACCTGTCCATCTGCCTCACGTCAGCACGCCGCCCCTCGCCTTTTCACGCTCTCGCTCCTTCCTGCGTACAGTGAAAACAAGCCCCTTCCACAGTGCGCGCTGATTAGAAGAGCAAGACGAAACGTGAATCAAAAACGAGTCTAAATTTGTGTTACAGTGTTGGCACAAAGCAGGTCTACAGCATAGAGCAGATCTACAGAACAGACCTACTGCCACATTTGGCTGAAGTCTGCCGAACAAAAGTGCACAAATGCATCTGTGTTTGTCACGATGTGCGTTTGGTTTGGTAAACGTGCAGAGGCTGGTAAATATCACTACAAAACCAGAAAAGAATGCAACTCCAGTTTGGAACTTTAAAAAACAGGTTTAAAAATCTTCCTTCACTTTTTTCACAGTTTTGTGTAAAGTGCCAGAGGAAGTTCTCTTAAAGAAGGGGTTCTCAAACTGTGGGTGAGGGTCCAAAAAAGGGGCACAGAGTGATTCAGTGCAGTTTGCTTGGCTTTGTATTAGGTAGATCTTTATGAATTGGTCATTTTGTAAGTAGCTCGCATGATGAAAAAGTGTGAGCACCCCTGACATAGAGGATGAAGGATTGAATGGATTTAGTGATTTGGAGTGAGATGGAAAGTTTGGTAAACTTGTTCTGTTCTGTTGTTTATGCTATAGTTATCTGAAGAACTGTTCATATGTGATGTTAACAGTCTGTTGTTCTCTGTTCTATTGTTATTACTGTAAATTGCCTTTCAAGGTGAAACACAACCCAAAACATGCTACATAAGTCTCCAGAACAGTTGATAGTCAAGGTCAGTTAAATACAATCAATCAATGAACCTGCCCAGGGACGACAGGTGGAAATTAGCACTGATGCTACAACCTGATAGATAGATAAATAAATAAATAAATAAATAAATGTCGGTTCCTGGTCTCTGATTTTATAAAATAACTTTTCCCCCAAAAAAGTGCGACTTATAGTCCGGTGCAACTTATATATTTTTTTCTTCTTCATTACGTGTTTTTTGCCTGGTGCGGCTTATACTCCAGAGTGACTTATAGTCCGAAAAATACGGTATTCAGACGTGTGAATGAAACAAAACACAACTCCAGGTACATTTTCGATGAGCGTTACAACATGGCTTACAGCTCAGTCAATTTTGCGTAATATAGCGCCTTTAATGGCTATGACCGCAGTGTTTAATGCTTTTGGGCTTTTGTTATAGCTAATTCAGACCCACCACAACACAAAACATAGATCCAATGTACATCAATGACATGACACATTACCTTTTGTTCTCAATGTTCCTTCTCTCCCTTCGGCGCGGTACAGTTGACAGCTCATCACAAATAATGACAGGTCTGGACTCCAAAATGGACAAAGAGTGAAAGAAAAGGATGACTAATGTTTGCAGACTCAAGGCGGCAGAGTTACAGTGTACCCGTCTGTTTTGTGTTGTGGGAGAGCTCTAATTTTAGCCAACACAAACTATCCCTGCTCCTGAAAAGTACAGAGAGAAGAGACTTTTTAAGGAAAACTTTATTGGTGCGCAAGGGAAATTTCATAAACACAACAGTTCAAATTTAAACGGGGTAATGCTCTATCATTTTGGCCTTAATAAAGCATGAACAAAGACGCAAATCATAATGAACAAATGGTTATTAACGACTCAATTCATATTCTAATCCTAACCCCTTAATTGCCAGAGTTATTACAACAAATACACTATTAATACAGCCAATTCAAGTTTTGATATAATTACAGCAACTACTACTACAACTATTGCTACTACAACGACAACAACTAGTTCAACTACTACAACAACTACTACACTACAACAACTACTACTACTACTACAACTACAACAACTAGTTCAACTACTGCAGCAACAATGACAACTACTACAGCTATTACTGCTACCACTACAACTACTACCACTACAACAACAACTACTATAACAACTACTACTACAACTACAACAACTAGTTCAACTACTACAACAACAACTACTATTACACTACTACCACTACAACAACTGCCACTTCAACAACTACTACTACTACTACAACTACTACAACAACTAGTTCAACTACTACAACTACAACTACTACCACTACAACAACTGCCTCTACAACAACTACTACTACTACAACTACTACAACAACTAGTTCAACTACTACAACAACAACTACTATTACACTACTATCACTGCAACAACTACTATTACTACTACAACTGCTACCACAACAACTACTACTACTACAACAACAATAACTAGTACTACAACTACTAAACAACAACAACAACAACAACAACTATTACTACTACTGCTACTACTACTACAACTACTACTACAACTACAACTACAACAACTAGTACTACAACTACTACAATTACTACTACACTGTGTCTCCTCTGTGGGTGATGCTTCACCTTTTTCATGCAAAATCGAGGAGAGGAATCAACAAGGAGCCTTGGAAAGAGAAATCAGATGGGGCCAGTGATCTGATATTCACATTTATTTCTACTAGTAAAGCTGAGGAGTTGCAGTGGTATGACTACATTTTGTTTTGTGCTTTTTACTTCTCATATTGTGTGTCTCTACTATGAATTTGTCTTTCACCACAAGTTTACTAACAACAAAGCATTCACAAAAGAAGGAAACCAGGAGAATAATACGTGTATGTGGATGTTGTAATAGTGTCATTCCAGGAAATCATTGACACAAAAGATTACAGCTTTGTTGCCTGCAAATGTTTCTGCTCACACTCTCATTATCCTTATATGAAATCTGTTTGTGTGTGTGTATGCTGTACGACTGGTTTACAGCCGTGGCATTTAGAAGATAAAAATGTGAGTGGCAACAAAACGAATCTTGTTGAGTAAAATACTAGAGGTGTAACAATATCCAAGTCTCACAATATGATTTTGTCACGGTATAAATCTCACAGTACAATATTTACTGTGATATCGTGGGAAAGCACACAATATGGTGGGGAGGCTCATGATTAGGGATGTAACAATATCCAAATCTCTTGGTACGATATTTTCACGATAAACATCTCACGGTACGGTATTTTTTGCAATATTTTGTGGAGGCAAACAAAACTGTGAATATGCTACTTTTTCCTCTTAAAATGCCTTGACAAGACTTAATCCAAAGAACTAAGACTTAAAAGTGCTTAAGACGGCTATTTCTTCTTGTAGTCTACACTGAAATGGAGCAAAGGACCATAGTTCCCTCTGTCTTTTTTTAGCTATTGCTGCACCATAACTCTGAATTTAAGTTTAAAAAAAACTTGGAATTCGATGTACTGTGATGGTCCATGATTGTATTGAAACTGTTTTATATTATTTGTGAAGAATTCCTCAGTCGTCCAGGGAGAATCCACGGCAAGGAGAAAATTCAGTTTGTCGACTGGACAAAAGTTAGTTAGCTCATCCAAACTGCTTCTTCAGTTCTGGTCAGAATGCTGGTTGGATGAGCTGTGAAACAGCTTCAACCAAACTAACTTTTGTCCAGTCGACAAACTGAATATTCTCCTCGACGTTTTATATTATGTTCATCCCATCTGCTAGAGGGCGCGAGTCGTGATTGTGATAATATTTTTAGACACTTGGTAGCCAGAAGGAAACAACTAGCTTGATGAATTTTTTTTTTAGTACTTCAAACCCCAAATACAAACAAAAAGGCACCACACAAAGATCACATCCAAACCTAGTAAAAAAAAAATCTAAATCACAGTTGTGAAGAAAAACAAAAATACATTCATGAACGAAATATGGAGGCAAATTCTAAAGCATGTAATCAATGGAAAAAAATTGACATCGTTCAAAAAGGATACAAGAAACCCGGCTTCCCTTTTTTCAGTCAGGTTCAATGAGTCAACAAAAATTCTTAGGTCATTTCTAAAGTGCGTTATATTTGGTTTTACCTTAAAAAAAAATCGACATTTGTGAATAAATAATTTTACCTAAGATTAATAAATGAGTAATTCCAAATTCCTTCCTTTTATCTTCTCTTATAGTTTGATGAATGTCAGTCAGTCCATGATGTGTTTTGCTGTTCGATCTGAAACCATCCTCTCATTTCCAGCCCTGAGTGGCAATATGAGTAAGTTTTTATGTTAAAAATGAATGTTGACAAGTATATTTGGAGCACTTTGTTAAAGATTGTAGCATATTATAGACGTTATTTGAGGTGTTCCAGTAGCCGTTATGGAGCCTATTTGAGTTATGTGTATTACTTCTCAGCTAATATTAACCGTTTAATTGTCTATAAAGTGTAACTGTAATGTACACCGCTGATTTTACTGCCTTCTGAATAATTCTTTGTATTTTTGTTGCAGTTTCACACTTTTTTGCAATAACTCCTGATCAAGGAGAACACCTGCCTGTTACTTGGAAGAAATGATGCAAGAGAGAGTTTAGCTGTGAATTTCATTTAGGACACGGGGTCACGTTGGGTGCAACAGCACAATGATATTATTGTGAGAACTTTGACGATACGATATCACAATATTTCAGTTATTGTTACATCCTTATAAGATATTATATTGTACTTATGTTGAATCCTGTGTCCTCCCTCGATGGGGACTTATGTTTTCACCAATGAAAGCAGATAGACACTCTCAGCCCACAGCTTATACTGGCTGGCTCAGAGTTTGTAGTTAGGTCATATTAACAGTAGTATTTAGAGGTGTTTAATTCATTTTGAAGTGATTATTATTTAAAAGGAAGTTAAAATATACCTTTTGTGATATGAGAAATTTCTAATTTTATCCCAGAGGAGCTGTCCTTGCTCCTGAAAAGCAGAAAGCGTACAAAGCGTAGCACGTTCTTTGCCTGACATTGAATCTATTTATACATTGTTTTTTCACCTCTTCCTGATGTGTGTCTGTCAGTTCGGTTTGAGCAAATGTTTGAAAACTAAACACACGCAGGAGCTTTAATTCAGTGCTTTTTGCTGAAGGTTGACACTGCTCTATTAAATGTAAGACTGCTCATAGAAAAGCAGTGGACATGTGGCTCAATGCACAACCATTACACAGACTACAGCACTGTAACGGACAGAAACCTGCGCTTTCTCATGCAAATCCCATAGGTCCTCCGTATGAAGGATGGTGTTCATTGTGATGGAGAGAGAACGGGCTTGTCACTGATAGGTGGCCTTGTCAAAGTCTAAGAAAAGGTTCATTCATTTTCAAGTAGCCCTTCAATTCTTTACAACAGATACTATACATGCATACACTACTGCTCAAAAGTTTTAGAACATCACACTAGGTTTTTTTTACTGTTTATTGTGTCATTGCACTCTGAAATAAAAGCACAGAATAAATAATGAATTTGAGTTGAAAAAATAAATAATGGAATCAATTTAAAGACCAAAATATTTTCTAAACTTTTGACTCATCAAAGTACCCACCTTTGGCAGATATAACAGCTGAACACACTTGTGGCATTCTTTCTATAATAGAAATATTGTTCATAAAGTTCTTCCCAAGTTTGTTGCAGAAGTTTCCATAAATGTGTGGCACTTGTAGGTTGCTTCACTCTTCTGTCCAGTTTATCCCAAACCAGCTCGATGGAGTTTAAGTCTGGAAACTGGAGATCTTGTCCAAGTTTTGGCAGAGTTTGGACTTGTGTTTTGTTCTTTTGTCTTTTTTTTTTTTTTTTTTTTTTAACCTCTATCTGTTCATTTCTTACCTGTGTACCATTTCAAGCTCTTCATTGGACTTGCATGACTTGAATTGCAATAAATAACTGGAAAAATGAGGGTGTTCTAAAACGTTTGATGGTAGTGTATTTATAATGCTTGTTTGTTTTCAGGATTTTCAGTGTTGTTCATCTACTGTTGTGGATACTTTGCAGTGACAGCACACTGGGGGTGTTCTACCTGTATCTCTATTGTGGTATGTGCATGGAAACAAAATGCACACATTAGCAAACAATCAAAGTTTTTAACGGGCCCACATTATGCAAAATTGACTCTTGGAAGCTTTAAGCCATTTTAGAATGTTAAAGGGACAGTTTAGAATGTTGGACATAGAGCCTCATTTCCTAGTAGAGACACTTTTTAAAATATTCCATCCAGTCCTTGTATTTGCAGAGGTCGCTGGTGCAAGGTTAGCGAATGTCAATGGCCATAATTATCCTGCCACTAAAAACAGTCTTAGCCACTCCACAAAACACCTGAAGCAAATCTATTATTACACCAGACTGTTGATGTAAATGTCTGTGTTGACAGAATAATTTTAGAAGTAAAACCAATCCTGCATTTGAAGGATTTATGTCTGAGCAGCAGCAGCAAGTTTTACTTCCTAATAGAAAGC